AGATTTTTGAGAACAAGAGTTTATTAGTCTCCTAATATAAAAATCGTATGGTGTACTGTTTACTTGCCTTGCCAGGGGTCAGTATCAAAGTATAAGAACGCAAAATATGACAAACAATTTTCATATTAATGTCATAGCAACACAAGAACACATGAAAAAAGTATGTTTAGAAACTCCTGAAAGTCCATGAAACATAATTTCAAAGAAAAGGAATGTTCAGATATGCTAGTGAAACACTTAGCTATGTATTTAAATCCAGTGTAAGCATTTCAGATAGTTACTAACGCTCATTTCACAACTTTTGCAGCAGTTCCTATGAAATCTTAGCTTTTAATTGCAATTTGAGGTTTCACTGATGTGTATTTGATGTTACTGATGTTGTGCTTCATTGTTCTCTTTTATTGCATGAAACAAATAGACCAAAATAACGACGGTAAATACTTGAACTGACTTTAGTAGGTATTTAAAACAAATCGTTTATTTCGAATTTCCTACTATAAACCAAGTAAGATTTCATGTCGGAAAAATATGCTAGATTTTCGAGTACATAAACAAATAGGAAATTATATCCAAAAGAACGTTTGCATTATGGATTTTCTTGTACGTGCATCAAGGTAAGAAATGTTTATACTTGTGACCCAGGATAAAATGAAAATTCGATAGGTATCAATACAAGTCGGTCAAACTATGGCTATCTTAATTAGTCAAACTGATAAGAAGTATTAGCCAGACTGGTCACAAACAAATGTGTCCCAGGTAATCGCAGATATTCTGTTTTTTTATTCTTTTCTTACATTACTTTTTTTAAATGCAAGCATTTTTTATTTGAGACAAATAAGTTCAAAGTAGTTGGTTCCTTTTATGGATTTTCATGCGACATTGAGAAGACGTAACTTGTCTGAATTGTGTGGAGTGTTTTGCAACATATTTCAAACAACCTGGTCACACGTACGTAATTGCGGTCACACACGAAAAGAGGACTGATAGGTCATTGGAAGTAGGGGTTACAAAACACATTACAAAGTGGTTTCAGAAAAGAAGGGAGTTGCCTGACCCCATTGATGTTAGTAATAAACGTCGCGGCTCATCAGTAGCTAAGATTTCATTGTAGTAGGGCATATAATGAACGTACAAACGGCATTTAATCACATCTATGAGACATGTTGTGGTATGTGTTTCAAAGTTTGTTAAAGCACTAGCCATTGTCAGGCTTAAGACACCTTTATGCTTTCGTGAACAGTTCGTCATCACATCAAATCTTACTTGACAAATTCAACTTTGGACCAAGATTACTGAACTATTAACTTCTTGCTGTTGTTGCTTTATTAATTTGCACCGTTATTTTGACCTTTAACTTAGTCTTCTTATACGACGGATAATCATTCTTTTACCCCTTTAAGTCCGTATAGATGACAAGCGCATATGTGATCAGACTATGCGAAGTGTATTATGCGGATTCAACCGCAAGATTAAAACAAATTACACCTAATTTTTTTCTGTCAAAATAGATAAGTTTGATTTGCCAGTAGATAAGGCGCTCTATTTGATTGAAATTGATTACTTCTTCTCCCGATTCTACGTCAGTGGTCTTATGAAAAACTCACCCACTTCTCTAGGACAATATCATTTAAAGTGTAATTCCAAATGATACAATATTCAGAAGGACTAATATATAACTGGATATAACCAGCCTTTGACGTTGGTCCAGAATCCCAAACTGTTGAATAGTCAAAACCCATATACAATACTTCCGTTCATTCGACAACCAGACAAATTTGATCAAGTTCCAGTTTTTTAAAGCTGATTGTTATCAGGTTTCCGTTACCTACATAGCTTTGTTAAACTTTTACCACCGTACGTTAGATTTTTTTTATGATTCTTGGGGTGACACTTCCTTTTTTCCACGCTCTCATAACTCATTTATTTTAGCTGAGTCGTACAGTCAGAAGTATCTATTCGTCTTCGTTAAACGCTACACTCATGCTGAATCATAGTATCCAATCCAAGAGTGCATTCTGGTAGTTTGCATCCTGCCTAAACAAGAGTTTTAGTCAAACTCATTATCTTTAAATAGAATAACTCAACAAATTTATACATATCGTTAAAGGAATAAACCCATTTCAGTATTTGCAAAACATGTAAATCCAAGCGTGTAAAATTAGAAGAAACACGAAAATATATAGTCACGATAAACAGTAGTAAAAGGTTTTTTTGTCAAGAATTTTCCCAGCTCATTTAAGCAGTACAATCAATATGAAAATAACTGATTCAAGAATTATCTGGTTAGAAATGAAGAATACTTTACCAAGAAAATGATAGTGTTTCTGAATGATAGCAAAATGAATGAAATGATGTTTATCACTCAGTGGATTAATATTTGTTAAAAAAAAGTTGGTTACATTTTTTCCTTTTCATAATTATTAAGTTGGACACTAGTAGGTCGTAAGTTCACTTTATATGTTCTAGACATATCACACAGTTTATTGTTCATATCCTTAAAACATGGAAAAAATGGAGTCTAGAACGTTATCCAGTTAACAGTACTGTCACATTTTGATACAGCTAATAAACAAACTGTAATAAAGTTAGTTGTAAGGTTTAGACGAGATGTAACGCTTCTTCTTCAAAGTTAATTATTTCATAATATGTTAGGCTGATATATATCTTCATCTATGAATAAATGTTTTAAAAAAGTATAGTTTTGTTAAACTTCACTTATGCATACCGTCAAATTGTTATCGGAAAAACATTATTTTAACGAAAATATCTCTGTATGAAACCATGAGTTTAAGTCCCTTAAAAGGAACAATAATTGTAGAGTACTTTGGTAATATTTGAGTTTAAGTTATTGAATCTTCTGAGCAAACACTGAGTGGAATATTTTAAGCAGGTAAAAAAGGAATTATCAAGAAAATAACGACTCTGTTTGCGCAAAATGGTTCAACCAAACATGTATCAATAAAAGCTCAGCATATCACCTACACGTTTCACAAGGTGGTAAAATGTACTCCTAAGTGATATATTATGGAGTATTCTACATTTATGCATTTCAGGACGTGATAAGGTGCAAACATGTTTAGAACGTCAGCGTTAAGTTTTGGTCTTTAGTGGTGTTTCAAACGATGATATTTAGAAAAGTTTGCTTAAAATACAGTTGGTATGCAATATAAGAAAAGGTCAGTGACCTACAGAAACACATCAGAGTAACAAATAAATGCTTGAATATCTCAACTAGCGTAGTAAAATGACATAGTACGCGGAAATTTTAATTTTTTTCTTAGGACGTCTTAGGATATCCAATCTAAGAATCCTGATTTCCCGTGCCATTTATTCCCTTTCACACTCTCTAGCTGACAGTATTGCAAAAAATACTAAAATATTTATGGACTACATAACTACAGTGGACGTTCCAAGCTAAATCTAATAAAACCTTAGGTATTTTCCTTTATCAAATTGAGAGTAGATGTGGAATGTGTTGTATTTAACAGAATAATTAACACACTTCTAAAATTTTTCTTTTGTAGGAAACTAGCTTGGAATCATTAACACGAAAAGTAAACATTCGCACTGGCTTTTTTACAACTTATGCATTTAGCGATTATATATCACTTTCATCAATTCATCTTTAGCTACGGTACACGATTTGCAAAGTCACCCTAAATTTCTTGTTCTTATAAGAAACGTATGTGTTTGTTATCATAAAATTATATTAAACTTAGAAAGAAAGTATAACTGTACCGTATGAAGGTTTCAAAAATTTTAAAGCGGAAATAAATTCCATTCATAAAATACTTTCCATAAATTAACGAGTTTGCTTTATGTCCTAATAACACCTGTTTTATTCTGATTCATAATCGCAACTAATTACTACCTAGACTAACTGACCAACCCACTTATGAAGATTGAATACAGGAGATTTTAAGTATCCTTATTAATTACACTTCCTAAAAATGTGAACACTTTAAGTCAATGATGAAATGAATCAAGCCATTATGTTTGAAAAGATGGATGCCTGGATGAAATCTTGGTAATAAGACCAATACTGGGGCAATACTACACGATTTCGTTATCAACTGATACAGTAATAAAGTTGAAGTTCACTCAAAGTTGTTGAAAAATTCTTCGTATAAAAAAGATTTACCAGTCCTAACTGATCGGTCCGGTTCAGTATGATGGAAACTGTTTATTACTAACATATAACGATTACCATTTTATTTGTTTTTGTGACGAATTGATCACTTTAACTTCGTCTATCAGTTACTGTGATGTGCTTCATTAGTCGAACTCGTAATTTAATTGCAGTCGTCCACTTGAAGCCATGTCATTTCATCTCTTCTGTTTAAATATTTGAATTTCTGTTGATTTTTAGGCGCTAAAGACACATAATTATTAATTTCAGAATGACATGTAAGCGAACAATATTGTTCTTAATTAGTATTCATCAAGCTCCTCCCTAATAAACATGACTATCAACACATATAAAATATGAGCTATTCAAAGTAATTTGTGAGTCAATGATAGGAAGGATACGGATTGTTTACTTTAGAATAATAAGAATGTTCAGAATGACAAGACAAAGTAAACGGATATTCAGACAGAATTACAAAGTAGATTGAAGCTTTGAAAATGATAATACAGTGGAGTGTTACTGAAGAATGAAGTAAAATATTTCTCATTTAGTTCATGTGAGGTGACATTTTTAGTAAAGGTTGTCTTTCAAGTATAATCTTTGTTGAATATATGATAAACTGCCACTGTATTATAATTGTGACGTTGTGAAAGTATTTTGTCCATAGTACAATTATTTCCCATGCAATTAGTGGTGATTACTTTCCGTTTCATTTGTATCAGTGCATTATTTGACAATGATACCTTAAATGAGGCTCTAAAAGATATGTTTAGGAATTATTTCTTCCCTTACATCACTGTGTAGTTAGACATTAGACACACCCAGCAAGAATGAAAAACAACTAGATTATATTCAAGTAAAATGCACTTACCGGTCTTGATAGTGTATGCGGCCATGATTCCATACAAGACGGTTCATTATTTCGTGGATCGATTCCAATTTTCGTATAAATTCCCAATGGCAAGGATATTAGAACAGAAACAAGCCATACACCAGTTATAATTAGTCCACATATACATTGTGACATACGTGTTCTAAACGGGTGGACGATCACTAAATATCTGTCAGCAGCTATAGCTGTTGAAGTTAGAGTTGAAACATAAACACTAACGCCCATTGTCACAGGCAATAATTTGCACAAAAATGTAGGTAATTTCCAATTTTTCATATGGAATACTATAGGTGTTACGGGAGCCGCTACAAAACTCATTAATAAATCAGATGCAGCTAGATTTGATATAAATAAATTCGTAATTGTTCGCATTGCTGTACTTCTCACCACAGTTAGTATTACAATACTATTACCAACTGTACTAAATATGATTATAAGTGGATAGACAACAGCAACGATAAGCGTCATAGCTGGACTGGATGATTCGATTTCCGCATCATTTGTATGATTACCCAACATTTCAGCATAATGTGAATTATTATTCATTTTGTTTAGGCTTTTGTCTTCAATACCATTCACATTTGTTTGTAAAAATAACAGTAAACTTCTAATAGGAATTGTAAACTGTTCTATAATGACAAGATTATTTGGATTTCTAGCAACGTTTAACTTAAAGCATGAGAAAAGAACCAATCAAAACCCGTCACAGTCATCCAATCAAGAATGTGGAGGTTCTTTCATAAAATTTCCACTTTTATCTGTTCATACTGAATACTTTTGTTTGGGCAATTTTTAGGCAAAACGAAACATACATGCAAATAGGGTGGCTGATTTATCCATCAAATGTGAAGGGAAGTGTAGGTAAAAAATAATGAATAATGAATGTATGTAAAACTACCAAGCATTTACAGTTGTAATATAGTGAAAGATTTCATAAAATATGCGATCATTCACTAAACACTATGCTAAGACAGAAAATCAGTAAGCTGTCAAGAAGTTCACTCTTGATGTTCATGCTTTCCAACGATTTAGAAGAGTTCCCTGAACACAATCCGTAAATGTTTATATCTCCTGTTAAGATGAAGAGTGAAGCGTTTGTTTATTGATAAGCTGGTTTCAGCCAGCCATTATGCATAGAGTACCCGTTAATATGTGGAGTTTGAACACAAATGTTGTAGTTATTCCATAAAAGTTCTGTCAGTTGGTACGTAATCAAACGCTTCAGTATAACCCTAGTGATTCTGGCTTTATGCATAGATGATCACTGTGTCGACTGAAAACCAAGTACATTTATGCGTAAATAAATTACACAATCAAGTTCGTCGACAAACAACATCAGTATATAATGAGAAAAAGATGTGGTCGACAAAACGAAGCGAAGTCGTTAAGTAAACATTTCAGTCGTAAAGTTTTTAATCCGCTTTGTTGCAAACTTTGTTCTATAACTAACAAGCATATTAGTTAACGAAAATAAATATTTCAAACAGATCTTTGTTAAGGGGTTCATTTGAAAGCTACTTATTAAAAATACATATAAGTAGTATTCGAAGCAACATTAAGAAAACGACAGACTGATGAGAAATCAGACACAGAGGAAATGCAATATTGAATGGAAATATAAAGCGCAAGAAATGGGTGGAATAACATGTAGGACACAAGATAATTTGCAAATCGTTGAACTGTTGCCAAGTTCAGTAATTTTGCAAGTGTCAGTTTTATTAACTACTGAGATTCTTTCTTCATTGGTCTCGCTGCCTAAATTCCAGTTGACGATATCTTGGCCAGCGTCGTTTGAAATAAGTTAGGGTTCCGTAGGTGTTTAAGTAGTATCAAAGTTGATGGAAGCGATAAAGCTAAGGCAAAAGCTGATGATATTGGCGACCCCTTTGAGGGGTTGAGCGAAGACAGACTGTGAGGTGGGGTAAAGTTGGGGTGAAAGATGTCAAGCGGGAGTGATATTTGGGGGGGGGATTATAGTGTCTCAGTCGGTGATGGAGCTTGCGAGTCTGGTGGTATAGATGGATGCAATGCAGAGTTGTCAGGGTGGATGCAGATGACTCTTTGGTACTGCCGATGAAACTCACCAACCTTATCCACCACATACTGCCCAACAATTAAAAGCAGTTAGCAGCACAACTTTTGAAAGTGTAGTTCATGGACAGCAAGCTATGCAATATTGTTCAATAGCTGAAACTTGTAAAAACAGTGCAGTCTATGAAAAACAGGCAGTTGGCAAAGGGTTTTGGTAGTTGGTATGCACAGCATCAGTAGCAGCAATAGAAGTGCGGTAGAAACGTTCACTAAGTAAAGAAATTCAGAGACTAGAACAGCGGATAGCTGGCATACATGCCAATATCAGTAGGTAAGATGTATGCTGCTTTTTTAGAGGATAGAACACTGGCATAGAAACTGCCACAGGTTACGAAATCATAGAAAAAACAATTTGTGTTTTGGTTCGGTGTTAAGACTCGATACAGTTAATCCATGCAATTACTGAAAAACCCAAACGGAAAATAAAGTCTTGTTTGGATTTTAGAGAGGTAAACAGCAATACCGACACAAAACCGTCTGCGCCCTAGAAACTAGATCAACTGAAGAAGGCTACACTGTTCTGAGTACTGAATTTATGATCAAGTTACCGACAACGGCAGGTAGAAGCTGATTAGGAGAACCCAGCTTTCACTACTGGGTAGGAAAGATGCCCTAGAGATTAATGCTTTTCGGTCTTACAGGAACACATGCTCCTGTTAAACCATTGATGACGATATACGGTTACGACTTCGTGGAGTATATTCTATCTAAATAAAATCATCTGGAACATTTAGAAGTCGTTTTATAACGAATTCGGGAGTTTGGAAAACTTATTCACTGGGGGAAGTAGCAGTCTGCTATGAGGACTGTTACATTGTTGGGTTATAAAATGGGAGACGGTGAAATAGAGCCGTTGCTGGAAAGCATTCTAACCATCAAGAACATTGAAATTGTGAACTTGAGAAGAAAACTGGGACAGTTCATAAGAAGAGCAGTCTGACGCAGTCAGCTCAATAAAAACTTCGGTGAAGTAGTGGCTCAACTACGTAAACTGTTGGAAAACCCAACATTTTTTTGGACTTAGGAGGCACAGAAAAAGTTTGACTGAAGTAATTAGCTCTAAGAAGACTTGTAAATGACTTTAAATTTGCCAGTTTCCGGAAAACCATTGGTCTTTTCTACAGGTGTCAGTGATTACGCAGTAGATAGCATCCTACTACAGACCAGAGGAGTTGCTGTATATGATAGCCAAGCATTGATGCCTACATAACAGAAATATACCGTAGTTGAAAAAGAATGTTTTGTGATCGTCAGGACATAAGCAAAATGGGGACCATATCTTTTAAAACGATGGCTTTATATTGAAACGGTCGGTGGTTGCAGACATTGTTAGATCACTTTGGAAAACTAGCGCAATTAACCTTTTGCCTACATGAGTGTGATCTTACAATTAAATGCATCCCAGGGAAGGATAATATAGTGGTAGATTACATGTGAAGACTGAAGGAAACAACTAGTTAGTCGAATACTGAATGTAGAGCCGACACCCTGGAAGACAATCTACTTAGAGTTTTATGCCATTTGTAGTCGGACTCTAACATTGAAATAGTAATTCAATATCGAAAGGAGTGGACGTTGAAAAGACTATAGGAAGTAACGACTTGAAAACTCTCTTCACACAGAAAGGTAGGCTAAAGGAATCTGTACGGTGCTCTGACCAGGCATGACGACGATGGAGGCTAAGCATCTGTTGTTCTGCAACACCTGTATTATTATTATTATTATTAGTCCCTTGGGTTCCTAGTGGAACATAGGGCTTCAGTAGCACGCCTCCAGTGACCTCTGTTCTCTGAGATCTTTTGAACCTGGTCCCACGACAGCCCACAAGCTCTCATTTCTTCCTCGCACGACCTCCTCCATGTCACCCTCGGACGTCCAACTCGTCGCTTCCCATGGGGATTCCACTCGAGGGCCTGACGCGTGATGTCCTCAGTCGGCCTTCTCAGTGCATGGCCAATCCATCTCCACTTCTTCCTGCATATTTGTTGCGTGATAGGTTCTTGGTTGGTTCGTTCCCAGAGTTCCTTGTTGCTTATTCTTTCTGGCCATCTGATCTTCAGTAGCGAGCAAGGTAAGCAGTTGTTGATGAATGTCTGTAGTTTATTGGAAATGCCTTTCGTGACGCGCCAAGTCTCTGAGCCATACAAGAGCACTGACTTGACGTTGGTGTTGAAAATCCGTATCTTGTTCCGCATGCTGAGTGCAGAAGATCTCCACACTGGTTTCAGGCTAATGAAGGCCTGTCTTGCTTTTCCGATTCTGACTTTGACGTCCTCGTCCGTCCCGCCTGTAGTTGAAACAGTGCTTCCTAGATAAGTGAAGGAGGTTACTTCCTTCAAGTTTCTCCCGTTGACGGTGATTGGAGTTTGTTGTTGTTGTTGATGGTGGTGGTGCGGTATCTTCATCACTTCTGTCTTCTCTATATTCACCTGAAGTCCCGTCTTAGCTGCCTCTTCTGTCAACTTGTTAGTTTTTGCCTGCAGATCTTCAAGTTTGTGTGACATTAGGCATAAGTCATCGGCGAAATCCAAGTCTTCTAGGTTCTTTTCCGTCGTCCAGTGTATCCCCCTCTTCTCGCTGCCTACTGTTTGCTGCATGATCCAGTCCACCACAATAAGGAATATCATGGGGGATAGTAGGCAACCTTGTTTCACTCCTGTCTTCACTTCAAAGGCATCACTGAGCTTCCCATTGTGGATTACTTGGCATGTGGCATCTTCATATAGTTGTTGAATGAGGCGGATAAAGGTTTGCGGTACTCCGTAGTATTGAAGCAGTTTCCAAATTACTTCTCGGTCGACGCTGTCAAAGGCCTTCTCAAAGTCGATGAAGTTGAGGTATAGAGCTGATTGCCATTCTACGCTCTGTTCTATGATGATACGAAGCGTTGCAATTTGGTCTGCACATGATTTGTACTTCCTGAAGCCTGCCTGTTCCGGTCGCAGTTTTGAATCCAGTGCGTCTTTAAGCCTCTCCAGGATGATGCGGCTTAATATTTTACTTGGGGTGGACAGGAGAGTGATTCCGCGCCAGTTCTTGCAAGCACTGAGGTCTCCCTTCTTCGGCAGTTTGACAAGGTAACCCTTCTTCCAATCGTCAGGTACCTTCTCTTCCTTCCACACCTTCTGCAATAGTGGTGTGAGCATGTCCGCTGTTGTCTCTGCATCTGTTCTCAGTGCTTCTGGCGGTATTCCATCTGGTCCTGCTGCTTTCCCGCATTTCAGTAGCTTTATGGCGTTCAGGACTTCCATTTTCGTTGGGGGATTTATGTTCACTTGTAATTCAGCGGCTGCAGGTGGTATTTCTGGACGAAGTGCAGGTGGTGGTCGATTCAAGAGCTTCTTGAAGTGGTCGGCCCATCGTTTCCTCTGTTTCTCTTCTTTTGTAATTAAATTTCCTTCTTCATCTTTTATTGGTTTCATCTGTGTTGGTCTCTTCCCTGATAGCAACCTGGTTATTTGATACAATGTTGTCAGGTCTCTCCTACCTGCAGCCTGTTCTGCTTCACTTGCCAGTGTTTCGTAGAAGTGTCTTTTGTCTTTGCGTGCACTCTTCTTC